GAATAAAAAATTTTTTTGCTTATTTGCGTGAAATTCATCTCAGTCTTGCTGTAATGCTGATTGCCGTGATTTTCTATGACCGTCAGCATGGACATTTTCGTTTCATAGGGTAATATCACCTTCACAAATGTGCTTGTGGGATAACGTAAGCCAGACTTCGTTGACGTGGAGATTGTGCATGGATAAAGCCCTGGGAAGACCACTGTTTAGTCTCCTTCTTCAGCTAGCTGTTACACCAAGGTGAATGAGAAACCTCTGACAACTAAATACGTTGGTGATAAGTCGAATGGTCTTTGGACATGGGAGAGATGGCAACAGGTTGTTGTTGTTTTGTCATCGTCATCTGAGGTTGACAGAACTAAACAGTAGAGTAACCAAGATTTATTATGCCTGAGAGTTACGAATGGCAATTTAAAGTGGGATTAAGAAAAATTCACTGTTGTGACAATAGTTATATTCCTGTCCGCAAGCAGGACTGTCCCAAGGAGGTATTTCCGCATCTGTACCGTCCTCTCACATATCTGTGGCCGGGTTCCCAAGAGAGAAAAGTTTTGAGTGAGTATATTTCCATTCTCTTACTGCGCCGTTTCCTCAAACTAAGCCAGGCGCCGGCCTCTGAGTTCATCTGATAGTTTTCTCAAATCGGTGTTTTTCAGCACCTGCTCGTTCGTGACCCCGCTTCAACTTTGAGTATATTAAGCAGAGGGCGTTTTTGGAAGCCGTCTGAACGAACTGCACAACGCTTCAGGATGGCACATGTTTGAGACTGTGCATAAGAACCGCGAATACGGCTGTTTTCAGAATGGCGATTTTCGTGTCCGTTCCTTTAGTTAGGTTTTCCCATACGTCATACAGTTTGCCATAATTCGCTGATTGCCGTCGATGCGTCGATTCACTTCAGGATCAATGTCGCCATCGTTATTTCAACATCGTCGCAGTCGTCAACGCAGTTCCAAGTACTTTAAGGGATCCGTTTCATTTTTCATAGTACCGTTCCATCATATCCTTGAGCAGCCAGTTGCGGCGGACGTCCTAATAATGCTCGTTTTTTTGGCGTTAATTCGTAGCCCCACTTTCAAAGTAGTATTGCCTATGCTTTCAGCGAATGTCAGGGCAGTACGTTTCACCGCAGAGAACATGTAGTCCATTTGCTTAGTGACCGTTGCGAAGTAGCGCAAGACTTAACCATTTATGTCTACTCTCCAAACAGAGGATGACGCATTTTCTTACACTACACTTGCGCTGCTACGACTCTTCTTTCGCTTTATTGTTGGTAGTTCAGACACATTCCTTGATTGCTCTATACACAGATGGGTGATTCTGATCATATCTCCCTGCTATCCTATCTTCTTGCTTTATCGATCACTTTTCTGGATCAGGCGATTCGTTTTCTCCGTTTCTACGAACGACTATTACTTGGCCGCACTATTTTCTGTATATTTCCAGAAACGAGCTATCTTAATGTGGGAGCCGCGTATTTCAGTGCGCACCCTTGTTCTAAATTTAGCCAAGATATTAGTTCTGTGCCTGATTGGACTTGCTTTCCATATGCTCCTCGGAGTCGCCGCTCTGGAAAGTGGAAGTATCACATACCTGAGGAAGTACGGTGAAAAACTTTTATCTTAATCTGAAGTCATGTGATACACCTCGAAACAGCCAGCTAACGTTTACAGTGGCAGTCCGGATAGTTCAACCGCGCTTAAGACAAATCTGTCTAAACATTGCGGTTACAAACGTACGAGCCTCCATTCGTCAGCATTCTTCGTGAAAGCATGAAATCCTTTCACTAAGTTACGTGTACAATGAACGGCAGACAATAACTCAAGAACAAGACGCGTACGAAATTCGAAAAATTCATGCCAAATGAGGAATTGTTGGGAATAATAGCATACTTCGTACAGTTTTTACGGTGAGGTACGAAAAACCTAGCCAACCCATTCTTGAATATTGCCGTCATCCATTTGGACGGAGGATGACAATGACAGGCTTGGCCATGTTCCTACGTCCGCCGCTCTTTTCACCAGTTATTGATACTGGTATTTGGCTCATATCATGATCGCAGTACGAACCGTATGCGTGTGTTTGCACGCAACGAAGCACGTTTGGATGCGGAACGTCGCATTTCAACAAAGTTTCATCACGTGGCTCTAGCAGCCAATTTGATCCGACACTCGGAAATACGCTACGCTAAGCTCGTTGTAAAACAGAGTACGAAACTCGCGTTGCAAAACAAGATTGCACGGGGCGGATCCGAGAAAAGGTATCACCAGAGAAAGTGGCCCGACACAGCGTATCGAATTATTCAGCGTCCTGTTCCGCAAGCACTAAATGAACAGTTCGCTAGTTCAGCATCATCCAACGAACATTCAGAGAGTAAATGCATGAAGTGCAATTTCAGGCCACTTTTTCCGATTTCGTTTGATTCGTGTGAAATGACTGATAATTATTTTTGTCCCTAATCATGTGTCCCCTCTTTCGCGTTGCATGAATTCGAGTCTTAATATTTCCATTGAAATAAATATGGATCGTAATCTCGAATCTCTATTCCAGGCATACAATCAGTGCATCCATATTTGTTTTAA